CAGCCTGCCCCCCAGGTCCTCTGCAAGGGACCCCTTGTCACAGTAATCATTCTCTCCTCTGATGTCACACCACCAATGTGCGCCAGTCTATTTGGTTCTCACTTGCAATGTGCTCCTCCCGTTGTTCCTGATTTTCATAAACAAAAATGCCTGATCTTCCCAATTCGAATGCAAGCTCTTGCAGGGCAGGAGGCAGTCTATACTCTGTACTCCCTGGAGTGCCCTGCGAGGAGCAGGAGCTCATGCTTTCCAACCTCAATGGGCGGGTCCTCAATGGGCCCTGACAACAGCCTCTCCTACCCCTTGCTAGCAGCCCCCTCCTCTCTGTAGACATCTATTCTACTTTGCCTCCAGAGGCCAGCTCTCCTGGGCTCCAACAAGCTCAACAGTTTGCCCTTCTACTCTGAAAGAAGAAGAAAACCAAGGGGCCAATCCAAAATGAAATTCCCCCAATTCCCTACTCCCTCAATTTTTCTTGACAGCTTAACCAGCCTTTCTAACCTCCCTCCTTTCTTGGAGGAAAAATGTCTCTGCCTCCTTCTGTCCAAGGTCAATTAATCTCTCTTAGAAGGTTTTAATCCTTCAAAGGATCTTGCTCCTTCAAATATCTTCTATTTCACCTGCAGTCACTCTTCCCCACATTTACACATATGGTTCTGGACACAAACCTCTCCTTCCAAATACTGTCCCCCATTCTTTCCTTTCTTTCTCAGGGAAGGAGCTGGGATCACCATTTCCTTGCCTCAGTTCCTCTTCAGCCCATACTCTGACTTCTGCCCCAGTGCAAATCACCGTAACCACTTTCTCAAAGGCCCCTAGTAAACTCCAAACAGCCAAATCCAAGGCTCTGACCTTGACCTCTACTTATGTAGACAACCCAAATTGTACCTCTTTTTGCCTCTCCTCCAGACTCCCAAACTGTGGAAATTATCTACATGGACCATCACCAGCCTACAAATCATGTCTCTCCTGCATTCCCCATCTGACAGCACCGCCACCTAACCAATCATCGAAGCGAGGTGCCTTGCAATACCCTTCACTCCTTCCTTTGCCCTGTATCCAACCAATGGCACTTCTACAAACTCTATCTCCAAAACAACTCCAAAGCTCCTCGCCTGTCCATGCTCACACCACTGTCCTCGTCTAACTCTTATCATCCTTCAAACAGAATATTACCTTCCCAACAGGGCTTCCAACCTTTCAGATCTCCACTTCCCACACTGATAGCAAAGTGACTTGATCTGAGAGCAAAAACACTGATGCGATCATTCATTTGTTCAATAAACAGTCACTGAGCACTTATTACAGACTGGCACTATTCGAGGTACTGGGTATATATAAATTAGAGTGTGTCTCCTCTCAAGAAGCTTACTTACATTAGAAAAAGACTATGACTATGTGTACGTGCACACAAACACCCAAATGTGTATGTATATATGCTTATATGTAATGTGCTGATACATAAAGTAAGAGATGGGAACACAGAGTGACCACAGGTGGTACTTTATATAAACTCAGGTCAGGTAGAGCTTTGTAAGCAAGCTACGGCCACGGTAAGAACTTTGGGATTGACTTTGACTTTGGGGAATGGCACTGGAGGTCTCTGAGGAAACAAGTGAAATGATCTCGCTTATGTTTTAAAAGGTCACTCTGGCCTTTCTAGGGGATAAGATGGAGGGAAAACAGATGCAGGGGGAGACCAGTCAGGACATTCTCAGTTGAGTCAGCGCTAGAAGTGACAGCGGCTGGAGCCGAGCGCTGGCAGTGGAGCTGAGCGCTGGCAGCACAGACAACAGATGCATTTCATCTGTAGACATCACCTAGTTCGCTGATGGACTGAACATGTGCTGAGATAAAGAGAGGGGTCCAGGGATCCCTGGGTGGTGCAGCGGTTTGGCGCTTGCCTTTGGCCCAGGGCACGATCCTGGAGACCCGGGATCGAATACCACGTCAGGCTCCCGGTGCATGGAACCTGCTTCTCCCTCTGCCTATGTCTCTGCCTCTCTCTCTCTCACTGTGTGACTATCATAAATAAAAAAAAAGAGAGAGAGGGGTCCAGAAGGATTCCAAAGTTTATGGTCTGAAGTAATGGGGAAGTCACCATTTGTGGAGATCTGAGGGAGACATTGGGAGATGCAGGTTAGGGGATGGGACAAAAGGGGTGACAAGTGAGGGGACTGATTCAGAGACACTATGATTGAATTGTGGATACAAGCGGAAACATCATGTGGATGACTGGATGTTCAGGGAAAGGACTGGAGGGATATATATTTTGGAGTCATCATTGGGAAGGTGAGCGTTAAACCCCCGGGATGGGTTGAGATCATGCAAGCATATGTGCTGACACTGAAGAGAAGAGATTCAAGGATAAGCCCTGGGTACCCCAACATTTAGAGAGGTCAGGACTAGGCCACAGACTGGGGAGCCAAACAAGACAATACTTTGAAAAGTAACATATGAAATGGAAAAGCATCTTTTCCCAAGAACAAACTGAGTTGATCTGGACACATCTTTAACATTTCAGTGATATATTCATTTAATATATTTATTTTTGAGACTTCCTTTTGTTCTCTAAGAAGCAAATACAGGGTCTGTCTCATCTCCATATATCAAAATAAATTCCAGATACTATAAGCACTAAAATCCCCTAATACTGGGACACCTGGCTCAGTGGTTGAGCATCTTTGGCTCAGGGGGTGATCCCGGGGTGCAGGGATCAAGTCCCGCATTGGGTTTCCTACAGGGAGCCTGCTTCTCCCTCTGCCTATGTCTCTGCCTCTCTCTGTGTCTTTCATGAATAAATAAATAAAACCTTTAAACAAAATCCCCTAATATCTTAGGAAAATAGGGCCAGTCTAGAAGACTCTCACTGATAGATGAGACCTATGTTTCAAAGTTATCTTCTTGTTCTTGGTGTGCACTAAAAAGGAGTGCTATGTTTTCTAACGGAAAAAGTGGGGTATTTGCCAGCATGTGGAGACAGAAAGACCACTGGAACAGAATAACAAGTCCAAAAGTAAACTCAGGCACATACAAAGATGCAGAATATGAACGGGTAGTTTCTAAATTCACCAGAGAGAGATGGATTTTTACAAAAATGGTGGTGGGATCACAGCCATTTGGAAAAAAGGTTAAAACTGATCCATACCTTATATTATAGAATTAATTCTGAATGGATCAGAGATCTAAATTTTTAAAATGAAAGGGTGTGGTCATGTTCCAATAAAATGTGATCTATAAAAACTGCAAGCTAGCTTGTGGGCCAAAGTTTACTGAATCTTAATATAGAGAAACAAGAATAAATTAAAATTGTGTATGTGTATGTTTAATTCTGAAAAAAAAAAAGTATAAGAAAGATAGACCAGAAACTAATAAAGAGATTACCCATAGAGGATGGATGGGAATGAGATGGAGGGAATAAGGATGGGAGTGAGACATCTCTATGTGTTTCTACACCATTTTGATATGAGAAGAACATAAAATCACCTGTTCTTGCCAAAAACCTACAACGTGAACCTAATCATGAGGAATCAGAGAATACCAGAATTTAAGACATTCTACAGGACAATGGGATCAACTGCTCAAAAAAGACAATGTATGGGAGAGTAGGGAAGGGATTGGAATTATTTTAGATCGAAAGATATTTTAGATAAGATAAACTTATCTTTATCTAAATAAATGTATCTAGATAAATTTAAATAAAAATCCTTTTAGATAAAAAGGCAGAACTGCCCAACACAATGTGTCAAGTCTGACTGGATTCTGGAGCTATAAAAGACATTTTGGGACAACTGGGTAAATTTAAATATAAACTATTATTAAATATTAAATCATTAGGAAATCACTTGGATGTGATAATCATACTGTGATCATCTGAAGAATGTCCTTAATCTTGAGAGATGCATGCTTAAGTATTTAGAGGTGAAATGTCATGATTCTGCAACTTGTTTTCAAATGATTCAGAGAGAGAAAGTGTGTGTGTGTGAGGCGAAAAGGAAGGGAGGAAAGAATTGGAAAAAATATGTATTTTTTGAAGGCAACAAGTGCTGAAGGAAATTCTAGACAACAGTAATGTCTATGTTTCAAGAAAAAAATTCCCTTCCAAAGTCTACCTTAAATAGTTAAACTTGATAGTTGGCCATCCTCTGCTGGTGCAGTAGAATTTTTTTTGGTTTACCTTTCATCTAAGACTTAGTGCAAGGGATTAAAAGACCAAAGTGGTTTGCAATCTTATAATTACTAACAAGTTATTCCATTCTGTTTAGAAAGTTACTTTGAGAACACAGAATGAGGGTCAAAAGGTACAAACTTCCAGTTATAAAATAAGTCAGTCATGGAGATGTAATGTACAGCACGGTGACTACAGTGAATAAACGGTACTACACACCTGAAAGTTGCGAAGAGAGCACATATTAAAGGTTCTCAGCACAAGGAACAAATTTTTTGTGATTATGTATAGTGACCAATGTTAATTGTACCCCGTGGTGATCATTTGACAAATATATACAAATACTGAATCATTATGCTGTACATCTGAAACCAATAGTGTTATATGGCAATTATACCTCATTAAAAAAAAAAAAAGAACACAGAATGCTACAATATGGATGAACTTTGAAAACGTTAGGCCAAGTGAAAGCAGTCAGTCATAGAATAGTGATTTCATTCGCGTGAAACGTCCACAACAGGCAAGTCATTAGAGACAGGAAGCAGAATGGTGGCTGCCCGGGGTTGGAGAGACGAGGGAGACATGGGAAATAATGGCTAGTGGGTACCGGGTTTCTTTGAAGGGCAGGGGGGGTGATAAAAATGTTCTAAAACTGACTGTGATATTGATAGCACAACTCTTATAAAGCACAAAGAACTGAACTGTACATTTTAAATGGGTGAATTACCCAGAGTAAGAATTATACCTCAATAACGTTGTTATAAAAAATTTAAAGAAAAACAACACAAGAGCAAAGTGCCCATCTCCACCCTCATGAGCTGCTGGCACTTACTTTGAAGTCTTCATGGAATCATCTGCCCAGCCTCCTTGCCTGCGGGGTGGCTTGGGAGGGGGAGCCTAAAAGGGGACAAGAAGCCAAAATCACAGTCACTCACCATTGGCATTCAGGCATGCAGGTGATTAGGTGAAGGCCACCTCAACCCATATTCTATCAAAATCTTTCAAATAAAAATACAGTAACCTTTCTAATTTACTGTCAAAATCAAGGTGCTTCTGAGCCCTGCTGGTGGGTATATAAAAGCAAGATCTGGAGGGCCATTTGGCAAAGTCTGCTGAAAGCCTTAGAAAGGCCCCATACTTTTTAAGTCAGAGATTCTAATCCAGGGAATTTATCCCAAAGAAAGAATTAGAGACATAGTGCCATTTGTGAATAGTAAAAAATTCAAAATAGAAATAGACAGCAATAAGAAATTAAATCATGGACTACACACACGAAAATACTATGTAATAGTGAAGAACTGTGGTAAAATAAGAATACCTAATGAAATGAGAATGGTCAGTATATGTTAACTTTTAAAAACCATGTACACTGGGTGTTACATGCAACTCATGAATAACTGAACTCTACATCTAAAACTAATGGTATTCTTCTATATGTTGGCTTACTAAATTTAAATAATAAAAAAATGATGAGATGAGCACTGTGTGTTATATTGTATGTTGGCAAATTGAATTTAAATATTTTTTAAAATAATAAATAAATAATAATTTTAAAAAACATGTTGTAGGGACGCCTGGGTGGCTCACAGTTGAGTATCTGCCTTCAGCTCTGGGAGTGATCCTGCAATCCAGGATCAAGTCCCAGGTCGGGCTCCTTGCAGGAAGCTTGCTTCTCCTTCTTTCTGCCTCTCTTTCTCTCTCTCTCTGTCTCTCGTGAATAAATAAAATCTTTTAAGAAAATGTCGTAAAACAGTGAGCATATGCTTCCAATTTGGTGAAAAAAATTTTAATACATAGTATCTAGTGTTAATTAGCTATAAGTACATGAGTGAGAGGGGACACCAGTGGCAGAACTGTAGCTAACTTTTAATTCCCTTCTTTGTGTTCTTGTGCATGTTCTGATTTTTTTTACAATCACCTTATATTACTTTTATAAACAGAAAGGTAATTTTAAAAAAAAAGATGAGAGGTTTGCTTAACAGATATAAACTAAATGAGTGGGTTAAAAATCTACTCAGGATATTTGGGGAACAGGATTCACCTGCCAAGGATGCATTCAGAAGCCCAAGTACAGGCCTTCTGGCCCATCATATTGGAACTGGAAATCCCAAGGGAACGTCAAGCAATCCACTGAGTCAGTCAAGTTAGATAAAAGAGCAAAGAATGCTTCCTATATTCCATTCACCCAGCATTCACCCAGGACTATTTTTTGAAGTATCAAATTCCTTTTTCTAACAATGGCATAGAATTATAACCGTCTGTCTCAGTCTAAGGAGATGCTTTGATGATGAATGGATGAAAACATGGGTTGGCCAACTTTTTCTATGAAGGGCTAGGTAGTAAAGATTTTTGATTCTGTGGGCCATAGAGTCTGTGTTCCAACTTGATTCTGATACTGTAGGGCAATAAACAGCTATGGACAAGAAGTAAACAAACAGGTGTCTTTGTGTTGCAATAAAACTTTATAAAAACAAGCAGTGGTCCAATATAGCAGGAAGGATGTGGTTTGCATAAACTTGGACAAATATGTGTCATTGCAACATCCTTTTAAATTTATCACTCAAAGCCTAACTTGTAACTTTTTAAGAAAACATCCTCTCAACATGCCAAAATACCTTTATGCTTTTGATATTTTATTTTGCACCAAGATACATTTCCTTTCTGGCTTCTCTAGTAGCACTGCAGCCTGCCAAGGACATGCTCTATCTAGATAACGGGCTTTTCTCCAGGGTGAGCCAGAATCTGCTGGAAATGCCTAACCGAGAAGAAACCACGTCCTAGAATGCCTGCATCCAACTCAGCTCCAGGAAATGTTAAGTAGCACTTTACAGAAAACAAACTTGAGTTTTCTATGCTAGAGGCAGGTAATGGAGCTACCTGAGAGGACTCTCTTTGAAATGACATAAATGCAGAAGTGGAAAACAAGCGTTTGTTTGTCTCTACCAGAGGGATATCCAAAGAAGAAATACCAAGAGATGCTCACCACTGCTTCCCAGTCCACACATCTTTATCTGGTGCACCTGCCACCCATACTCACCCATGCTTAGGCCAGAAGGGGAAGCCTGCTCCAAGACCCCCATTGCCCTTAGAAACTGACTGAATCAGGGGTGCACCAGTGTGATCCCATTGGAACCAATCAATTTCTCTCTCCTAGGAATCCAGCATTGAAGCTAGAGGTTAAACTGTTTGGGCAGCATGAGCACTGGAACTGTAAGGACAAGCTGGAATCAGAATAAACCCAAAGTACCACGAGCCAAAGTTGTATATAAGCACAAACTGGCAATCTTGTCTTATTGAGCTCCCACTGTGTGTAAGGCACTGTGCCAGGGAAACCTGAAATGTTAAAAAGAGAACTGAATGGAACCACATCAGGCCCCTTGAGGATGTTTTAAAGCAATCTGGCCTACAGGCCATCTTCCCTGTGCTTCTGCAGGAAATATCCCATATTTCTTTACCCAAGGACAGAACCATCTTGTGTTAATGAACATTCCTGAATTTGGAGGTCACAGACCTGTGGCCACACGTTGTGTTTAGCCAGACAGTGTTTTTGTGTGTTTTCATTCTAAAATTTAAGCCACTGTTTTTAAAAATTGGAAGATTTCCATATAAAATGTCATTTTCCAGCTTCTCTTGAAAACTCTAAGAGCCAATCATGTTGGGGCTGCTAAGTAGCAGCTGCCCCTGCAGACAGGACCTGTGTATTCTAGGTCCCCACACTCCCTCTCTGCCTCCTTCCTGCTAAAGGCAAGTGCCAACTGCCACCTATTCCTATTGCTCTTGTGCTGCTGCTTGTCTTCCAGTACAGAATTGTCTCTGCGTGCCTATGTCCAGCGGAAGTGGGAACATGAAAGCTAGGCCAGGCACTTTGAGAAAAATGGGCAAGAGCATATGTCTTGGCTGGAAGCATGAGCTTACCTTACGACTTCAGTGTGCACGCTGAAGGGATGCCTGTGTCTTACCCCTGGCCCCATGTCACTCCCTGAGGCTACCTGCCCAGCTCCCCCGTAGGCAGCTGGGCATGTGACCCCTGAGCTACACTCTCCGAGCTGGGCTCCTCTGCTTTCTTCTCTTTGCTCTGGGTGTTGGGAAGCATGGAACAAACCAAGTCAAATCCAAGGTGCCACATGGTCAGGGTATCCAAGTCTACCTGGAGCTTTGCCAGCACTGTGAGATGCTGGGAGTCCATAAGAAGGCAGGGGGCCTGTGTGGCATTGGCAAGGTAGCCCTCCTTGTCCTGTGATCTCTGCAGTTTTCTACTGCAGGGTGTGGGTGCCAACTGTAATGGGAGGAACAGAGACTGGACCGAAGGGGCTGTGAGAGATGACGCAGCATGGAAAAGGTGCACAAGCAACATACACGTCTGTCAAAATGCACTCTTCTGAGAAACAGCTTAACTGTGGGACTCCATCAGTCGCTGTACAGTAAGTGCTTAGAGCAATGCCTGGCATGTCAGTACTCTATCTTCCTTGTTACCACTGCCGTCATCATCATTATTGCTAATATCAATATACGAAAGGTTACACTGTAGGTAATAAAATATACTACCATTTGGAAAAAAGAAAAAAAAAAAGACTTCTCTGAGCCTGGCCTGAGCTGTCGCTTTGACTACTAAGGGACACTATGTGGTTAATAAAGCTCTCTAAGGTTCTAAAAACCAAAATGACCAGTTTTATCTCCTTTAACCACAAATCCCAGGAAGCCATGACTGTGGGGGCGAGGGGGTGCGGTAGGGGCAGTGAGTACAAATCCCTTCCTGCCAGAGGCAGCACAAAGACACTCTCTCATGCTCCTCCCGTTACAAAATGGGACCAGCTGCTCCATTAGGACAGCAGTTTCAAAACAAAAAGATCACCACATAAGAGTCACACCTCCACACTCCACAGGACTGAAAAACTACTTCCAAAATCAGGGTTTTCCCACAAGTGACTGAAGACTTCAAGAGCTGACATGATGTTGTAAAAACTGTGTTAAGCTACTCTTCCCTGAGATGACAAGAAATTCTCTGGGCAGAGTGGGGCCGAGGCCTGTTCTCCCTACTAGGAGTCTCAGCCAACCTCAGGAGACAGTGTAGGGGCACATGGGAGACCAGAGGGGCGTGCAGAACATGCTTTCTGCAAGCAAGGGCTGGGACATGAAGCCGGAGTTATCTCCTCCCTCATGGGAAATCCTTATGCTCAGTCTAGGACTCTGGGTCCCAGGGTAAAAACTTTTTTTCTTTAATACTCCCTCCTATCAGTCTTGTTATGGCCACCCACAATTACCCTGTCTAGATGAAACAGACTTAATTGACCACTATTAAGTTATGAAGGCTCTTCCCCAGAATCTAACTTCGTTCCCCATGTGGGGAACTGGGCACTGTCCTACGTGCGTGGGGTGAGATGGAAAAAGCAGATGTCACCTCTGTCCTTAAATGTTGCCCCTGTTCAGTGAGGCAGAGAAGAGGCCACATTCGCACGCATCGGGTGTGTATCAACTCCATGTGACGGCACGTCACGTTCACTTGAAAACTTAGGAGCCTGCATCAGAGGTAGGAGGCAGGTGGCAGGGATGGAGACGGGTTTATTCCAGGGACAAGCTACATCCAAGGTCCAAAGACAAGCTGAGGGGGGATCTCTCAACCATGGTGCAGTTCCCCTGAATTTTGCAGTTTTCTTGCCATCTCTAGTGGTTTTACCAGAATACTTTCTCCAAGGTCACCATGAAGACAGAACCCAGTACACAACTGAAGACTAAACAGAAATGTGCCAGGCCAGGAAGTGCTGAGGACAAGGAGAGTGAAAGGAAACCTCACAGATTTCAAATACAAACAGAGATGAAAAGGAAAATCATTTCTAAAGGACTTAGATTCAAGGTATAGGGATTCCAGGATGGCACATAACGCTTGGGCGACAGCCAAC